TAATAATGTAACAGAATTTTTAAGATTAAGTAATATTTAGTATATTGATATTAATATTACTTAATATTAAGTACTTAAGACTTAAGACTTATTAATATTACTTAATACTTAAAATTAACAATTAGTACTTAATATTAATATTAAGTATATTATTAATGAACTATTATTTGGTTCCTAGATTTGTAAAATGGGACAATAGAAAGGAGGATACATAGGAAGGCAAATGGGAAAATGAGGTATTCTTTTTTGGTCACAGAATTTTTCAGTTAGAAGGGGTCTTAAACATTATTAATATCTTTATTTTACAGAAGAAAATGAGACTCAGAAAGGAGTGACTAACCTGTTTTTGATTTTTCTTTTTTAAAAAATAAGATCATAGATATTGTTTTGTAGCAGCTTTTTTCATTTATAAAACATAACTCCTCACATTTTTAGATTTTCTTCTATAGCATCATTTTTAATGACTGTGTGATATTTTAGTATAAGCGTATGAGTCAATTTACTTAACCAATCCTGGAGAAGTATTTTAACCTACAATATAAATATTACTCATTCTAAGTATTTAAAAAAAAAAAAACAACTATAAACCAGGTCTGGTTTTTAAGAAGTGCATATATTGTTACTTTGGTATAAAGACTTAAAACTCGGTCCCCCAGTGTTACCTGGCAGAGGCTTTGGCAGCAGATGGTCAGCATCTTAGGAGATGATTATATGAGTATAAAAGGAAAACATCCATAATCCCAGTGCTTTGAGAGGCCAAAGCAGGAGAATCACTTGAGGCCAGGAGTTCAAGACCGGGCTGGGCAATAATGGGAACCTTACCCCATGTCTAATAAAAAATAAAATAAAATAAAGTAAAAATGAATTTTAAAAAAATTAGGTAAGAAAAATTCATCCTACTCCATTAATAGAATTTATACTCATTCTAAATTAATTAACCAAAATAATAGGGTTTTACTTTATTTCATAGAATCAGAAGGTCTTACAGTAGGAAGGGAATTTCAAAGCTACTTAATCCCAAACACCCATTCAATAGCTGGATCCTGTCCAGTAGCCTCTCCATGAAGTTCTGCAGCAAGACTTACATGACAGAGACAGCCCCACTTTCTGAAGGCAGTTAGAAAGTACTTCCACATGCTGTTACAGGATCTATTTCCTTGTAACTTCCTCCCACTTGTTTACCAAACAATACTTTTGGGACCAAACAGAACGAGTTGAATTCCCCTGACACATGGCAGCACTTGTAGTGTTTGGAGACAGTTCTGATGGCCTCTACCAACATATGCTATCCCCACCCTCTTCCTGCCCCACCTTCTCTAGACTAACATCTCCAGCTCCTCATATGGTGGCCATTGTTTTTGTCCCTTGACATCTGCTGTTGTTTTTTCCTGAATATGATCCAGTTTGTCTACATTCCTCAAAGGGTGGGCCTACGGCACTCCTGATTAGGGGTTGCAAAATAAAAAAACCTCCAGGGACTAGACCCTAACTAAAAATAAACATGAGGCCAGGCGTGGTGGCTCACCCCTGTAATCCCAGCACGTTGGGAGGCCGAGGTGGGTGGATCACCTCACTAGCCTGGCCAACATAGTGAAATCCTGTCTCTACTGAAAATACAGGCTAGTCTCCTAGCCAACATAGTGAAATGTGGTGTGATGGTGTGCACCTGTAATTCTAGCTACTCGGGAGGCTGAGGCAGGAGAATTGCTTGAACCTGGGAGGTGGAGGTTGTAGTGAACTAAGATGAAGCCACTGTACTCCAGCCTGGGCAACAAAGTGAGACTCTGTCTCAAAAAAAATTTTTTTAAAAAGAAAGAAAGGAAGGAAGAAAAGAAAAGAAAGGCCAGGCACAATGGCTCATGCCTATAATCTCGGAACTTTGGGAGGCCAAGGCAGAAAGGACTGCTTCAGTCCAGAAGTTTGAGACCAGCCTCCACAACATAGCAAAACTTCATCTCTACAAAAAATACACAAATTAGCCAGATGTGGTAGCATGCACCTGTAATCTCAGCTACTTGGGAGCCTGAAGTAAAGAAATCACTTGAGCCCAGGAGTTCTAGGCTGCGGTGAGCTGTGATTGCACCATTACATTCCAGCACAGGCAACAGAGCAAGGTGCTGTCTCAAAAAAAGAAAAAGAAAAAGAAAGAGAGAGAGAGGAAGGAAGGAAGAAAGGAAGGGAGGGAGGGAGGGAGGGAGGGAGGGAGGAAGGGAAGGAAGAGAAAATTATTCCAGAATGGACAACAGAGCAAGACCCTGTCTCAAAAAAAAGAAAGAAACAAAGAAAAAGACAAGAAAGAAAATTATCTAACTCCAAACCATGCATTCATCTTCCGAATATGTGAATATGATAGTAGAACCCACTTTTTACAACTTTCATTCATTTATTCAACAAATACTTATTAATACTTAATGCATACCTACTGGTACCAGACACTATTCTAGGCACCAAGGATAAAGAAGTAAACAAAACAGAGTTCCTACCCTTGTTGAGCTCACATTCTAATAGGGAACAGAGAGTAAACAAGTAAGCCAATCCGTAGATGATATGATGTCAGTTTGTAATAAGGGCTATGTAGAAAAATTAAGCAGGAGCCAGGCGCCATTGCTCACGTCTATAATCCCAGTACTTTTGGAAGCCAAGGTGGGTGGATCACCTGAGGTCAGGAGTTCAACCCCAGCCTGGCCAACATGGCAAGACCTCCGTCTCTACTAAAAATACAAAAATTAGCCAGACGTGGTGGCACATGTCTGTGGTCCCAGCTACTCAGGAGGCTGAGGTTAGAGAATCACCTGAACGTGGGAGACAGAGGTTGCAGTGAGCCAAGATGGCACTCACAGCCTGGGCGCTGTGAGACAGAGTGAGACCTGTCTCAATCAATCAATCAATCAATCAATCAACATTAAACTTTAAAACAGAGCAGGATCAGGGATAAAGAAGAATGGGGGCAGAGTGACACTTCAGACAGAGTAGTCAGGAAGAGGCCTTGGAAGGTGACATTTGAGCACAGACTTGAATAAAGGTAGAGAAACCAGGCAAACACCTGGGAATCCCAGGCCAAGAGAAAGGCAAGGCCAAAGGTCTCTCGTGGAAACATGGCTAGTTTCTTTGAGAAACAAAAAGGAAAGCCAGCGTAGCCACAGCAGAAGAAGGAGGAGGTAGAAAATGTGATGTGAGCCAGGCAGGAACCAGGTCATGTATGACCTGGAAAGCCATGTAAAAACTTTAGATTTTGTCCAATATGGCTGGAAGACATTGGAGGACTGGGAACAGGAGCATGACATGGTCTACTTTTTATTTTGAGGGATCACTTTGGCTGTTAGGTAAGAAACACACTGAACATATGTAGAAGAGACAAGAGAGACTTGATTTTTTTTCTTTGTGTCTTTCTTTTTTTTTTTTTTAGCTCTAGCAGTGCCATTTATTACATTATCAGAAGGGTTTAGCAGCCATCTCAAAAATAATAATAAAAAATAAGAGGGACACAGCTAGTAATAATAAGGAGGTATAAACAGAACAGAGTCCTCGGAGGCAACACAACATATCTACAACCATCCAATCTTTGACAAACCTGACAAAAACAAGCAACGGGGAAAGGATTCCCTGTTTAATAAATGGTGTTGGGAAAACTGGCTAGCCATATGCAGAAAGCAGAAACTGGACCCCTTCCATACACCTTACAGTAAAATTAACTCCAGATGGATTAAAGACTTAAACATAAGACCTAACACCATCAAAACCCTAGAAGAAAATCTAGGCAAAACCATTCAGGACATAGGTGTAGGCAAGGACTTCATGACCAAAACACCAAAAGCATTGGCAACAAAAGCCAAAATAGACAAATGGGACCTAATCAAACTCCACAGCTTCTGCACGGTAAAAGAAACAGTCAGTAGAGTGAATCGGCAACCAACAGAATGGGAAACATTTTTTGCAGTCTACCCATCTGACAAAGGGCTGATATCCGGAATTTACAAAGAACTAAAACAGATTTACAAGAAAAAAACAAGCCCATTCAAAAGTGGGTGAAGGATATGAACACTTTACAAAAGAAAGTTTGTTTTGAGGCCAAACAAACATGAAAAAATGCTCATCATCACTAGTCATTAGAGAAATGCAAATCAAAACTACATTGAGATACCATCTCACGCCAGTCAGAATGGCAATCATTAAAAAATTTGAAGACAACAGATGCTGGAGAGGATGTAGAGAAATAGGAATACTTTTATACCGTTGGTGGGAGTGTAAATTAGATCAACCATTGTGGAAGACAGTGTGGCGATTCCTCAAGGACCTAGAAATAGAAATTCCATTTGACCCAGCAATCCCATTACTGGGTATATATCAAAAGGATTATAAATCGTTCTACTATAAGGACACATGCACACGAATGTTCACTGCAGCAGTTTACAATAGCAAAGACCTGGAACCAACCCAAATGCCCATCAATGATAGACTGGACAGGGAAAATGTGGCACATATACACCATGGAATATTATGCAGCCATCAAAAACGATGACTTTGTGTCCTTTGTAGGGACATGGATGAACCTGGAAACCATCATTCTCAGCAAACTGACACAAGAACAGAAAATCAAACACCGCATGTTCTCACTCATAGGTGGGTGTTGAACAATGAGAACACATGGACACAGGGAGGGGAGCACCACACACTGGGGTCTGTTAGGGGGAAATAGGGGAGGAACAGTGGGGGGTGGGGAGTTGGGGAGAGACAGCATGGGGAGAAATGCCAGATATAGGTGAAGGGGAGGAAGGCAGCAAATCACACTGCTGCTTGTGTACCTATGCAACAATCTTGCATGTTCTTCACATATACCCCCAAACCTGAAATGCAATAAAAAAGAAAAAAGAAAAAAAAATAAGGAAGCATAATGAACAAAAGGGAAAACAGTAGCTTCAAACACCCAACTTTCCTTTTAGGAAGTCCCTGGGCCACAAGTCAATATTTGTTTCAAACATACTTCAAGGAGAAAGGAAAGGAGAGGCATTTTCTAGCCTCAACCTACTCCACACGACTTGGCTGGTGATCTGGTAAACTTGATCATAGCAAGTCCTAGACCAGCTCAGCCACTGTGTGGATCTTCTGATGGCGAATGAGGTTGCAGTGTCTATTAAAACTTTTCCCACATTCAACGCACTGGTGAGGTCGCTCCCCCGTGTGGCTTCTCTGATGTTCAACGAGAAATGAACGCCGACTGTAGCTCTTACTGCACTGGTTGCACTGATAGGGCTTTTCTCCTTTGTGTATTCTCTGATGCTGGATAAGACCTGCACTCTGACTGAAGGCCTTCCCACACTCCTTACAGTGGTACCGTTTCTGTATATTGTGGATTCCTCGGTGATTAAAAAGACCAGAACTTCGACTGAAGGCTTTCCCACATACATTACATTCATAAGGTCTTTCTCCAGTGTGAATTCTTTGATGTCGAATGAGACCTGAGCTCTGAGTAAAGCTCTTCCCACATTCATCACATTTGTGTTGCCCCTCTCCTGAGAGGTTTCCCCACTGCCTCTGTATCCTATCCTTATGTTCACCAACTTCTCTATGTGGGAGATCCTGCTGTGATACCTCCCAGGTCTGCTCATTAAACATTTTCCCATGTGGTTCCACTATCTTAAGACAATCTTTCCTTAGCACCAACTCTCTGTCCTCAGTCTTGGTCATCTCATGAGACCCGGAAGGCGCGAGGTGCGAGCGGGGCTTACCGGCCCTGCGTTGCTAGGAGCGCGGCACCCTTTGTGTCTTTCTTACACCTCTTTTACAACTCTGGTAAGAACCTATTTAGAGTTTATTAAATATTTCAGCACCAATGAAATGGACGGGATTAATGTAGTGCCCAATCAAAAAGGCATGAGCTTTAGAATACTTGCTTTAAAAGTTATTGTAAAGTTCAGCCATTCATGAAATGTGAAATGCTTATGTTGAAAATTACTTCCAACTGTTCACGAAGATATATGTACCAAGAAACTAATGTAACTCTGCACGTGTCAGAACCCTGGAGGCAAACAGCTAAGGTTGGTCTCAACAATGTTTCTTTTAAGAAAGTAGATGCCAATGCCATTTCAAAGAAAACTGTACAGAAACTAAGGTTATCAATGCAGAGGTAAAGAAGCAAAAGGAAATACTGTAGTTAAAAGCTCTGCATTTTAACTATGCTGTGTGTGTTATTAACCGTAAAAACTGCATGTATAAATGTATTCAATCAGCCATGCGTGGTGGCTCACGCCTGTAAGCCCAGCACTTTGGGAGGTCGAGGTGGGCAGATCAAGAGGTCAAGAGTTCAAGACCAGCCTGGCCAACACAGTGAAACCCTTTCTCTACTAAAAATACAAAAATTAGCCAGGTGTGGTGGCATGTGCCTGTAGTCCCAGCTATTCGGGAGGCTGAATCGAAAGAATCGCTTGAACCCAGGAGGCGAAGGTTAGTGCAATGAGCTGAAACAGCTATTGCACTCTAGCCTGGGTGGCACAGTGAGCCTCTGTCTCAAAATAAATAAATAAATAAATAAAGTATTCGATCAGAACTCCGTTGTATGATATACACTGCTAGTGATTACTCAAAATCCACCACTATCCTCTAACTTTTACCTTGTTAACAAAACCCCAGTTTGGTTCAGAACAGTGGTGTGCCTGGCCTTGGATGAATTGAAATTGGTCTAAACTTTTCAGTAATAACCCTTGCTTGCCTTTCTACCTTCCTTTGAAAGTGGAGGTGGCGAATGACCCAGTTCCAGCCAATGAGACATAAGCAGAAATCTGCTTGGGGGTATGGTCTGAGAAGCTTTAATTTTACTGACCAAAATTGTCGGACACAGCTGGCTTCCCCTGCCCCCTCTCTTCCTGCCTTGTATGTGGGTATGTGGGCTACTATTCAGGCATGCTGATGGGGGAAAAGCCAAGAGATTTACCAGGTGGCTGGTCCTAATGTCATTGGCCACCAAACCAACACTGTTAGTGGTGGAAGTTATTCGGGTCAAAAGGCACCAAAATATGTTACCGTTTGCGAATCCGCAGAGGTCTGCAGCAAGCTCAATTCTTGCCTCTTCAGAAGAAAGAATTCCACCAAGGGGCGTAAGGCAGAAGACGACACTGAGGCAAGTTTTAGAGCAGAAGTGAAAGCTTATTAAAAACCTTTCCAACTCCTGTTGCAAAAGGAAGTAAAGTACACTTGGAAGCGGGCCAAGCAGGCGACTTGAGACAGCCAAGTGTGCTGTTTGACCTTTTGACTTGGGGTTTTATACGTTGGCATATTCCCGGGGTCTGCGTCTCTTCCCAGGATGCTTCCCTGGGGGTGGGTCTCCGCCCACAGTGGCCTGCCAGCACTTCGGAGGTGAGCATGCGCAGTGTGTTTACCGGAATTGTACGCATGCTCACTTGGGGCGTTCTTTCCTTACCAGCCGGAAGTCCCCAGGAGGTCGTATACCATTAAACTCCACCATTTTGCCTTAGTGTGCATGTGTGAGCTCACTTGCCCAACTCCTGAGATCTTATCAGGAAACCAGTAACCACCAGTTTCAGGTTTTTCCTATCTGTAGGGAAACTGCCTTTTCCTGGTGCTGGCTGCTACCAATTACTATTTTAGAGAGACAGTTAACAACCACCTGACCATCCATCACCTGATGATTTACTGTAACAACACCATCAGCACCTAATTCCAGACGTCTTGTTAAGTAAGAACTAGAAGCACTTGTGTATTTAAGTCTCTGCAAATTGGGTTTTCTATTACCTGTAGCCAAACACTATCTTTTTTTTTTTTTTTTCTTTTTTTTTTTTTTTTTCTTTTTTTTTGAGACGGAGTCTTGCTGTGTCTCCCAAGCTGGAGTGCAATTGCGTGATCTCAGCTCACTGAAACCTCTGCCTCCCAGGTTCAAGTGATTCTCCTGCCTCAACCTCCCGAGTAGCTGGGATTACAGGCACATGCCACCACACCTGGCTAATTTTTGTATCTTTAATAGAGAGAGGGTTTTACTATGTTGGCCAGGCTGGTCCTTGTCTCAAACTCCTGACCTCAAGTGATCCACCAGCCTCCGCCTGCCAAAGTTGTGGGTTTACATGTGTGAGCCACTGCGCCCAGCCCAAACACATTCTTTTTTCTTTTTTTCTTTTTGAGACCCGAGTTTCGCTCTTGTCGCCCAGGCTAGAGTGCAATGGCATGATCTCAGCCCACCGCAACCTCTGCCTCCAGGGTTCAAGCAATTCTCCTTCCTCAGCCCCTGAGTAGCTGGGATTACAGACATGCACCACCACGTCCAGCTAATTTTGTATTTTTTAGTAGAGATGGGGTTTCTCCATGTTGTTCAGAGTGGTCTCAAACTCCCGACCTCAGGTGATCCACCCACCTCGGCCTCCCAAAGTGCAGGGATTATAGGCATGAGCCACCATGCCCGGCAACACATTCTTAATTAAGACCTTTTACATCACCAGCATTCTAAAGAAATAAAATAATCTATCATCAATTATAATCTAAAATGAACAAAATATACTCGTCTGTGTTCAACAGTAATTGGGAAACCTCACTCATACTATTATAACTAAATCCCTCAGCCAACCATCAAGGAGCATCTGTTCCCCATCTTCCAGGCTTCTCTATTAGATTAGTTCTGACTTCACAATTTTTTTAAAGCCTATTGGGAAACCACAGGGGGAGTTTTCCACGAGGCTGAATAGGGAGGGAATACCTGGTGTAAAAGATGGAAAAACATAGAAATGAACTTGTGTCTGCTTTCACTGGCTTGGTGCACTAATGTCATATTCTTTTGGCAGCAACTAGTCACAATTCACCCCTGTCTTTGCTTAGAATTCCTAGTCTGAGCAGGGCAGAGTGGCTTGCACCTGTAATCCCAGCTACTCAGGAGCCTGAGGCAGGAGAACAGCTTGAGACCAGGAGTTCAAAACCAGCCTAGGCAACATAACCCAATCCTGCCTCTCTCTTAAAAAAAAAAAAAAAAAAAAAAAAAAAAAAAAGAATTACTAATCTGATTGGTTCTTTGACTTTGTGAAGAAGGAACCTCCAAGACAACAATGTCCACTTTCATTAGCTTAGGACAAGGAAGAATAAGTGTAGAAATCTTCCTAATAGAAAACGCATGTTACATATTTCTCTACTGTCACTTGTACCAAGTGAATAAATACCCCAGGAGGATATTAGTAAAGATATTCTTTATTACACTGATTTATCTTACCTGGTTGATGTGAAAGGTAAGGAGCTATAATCTTTTTCTTTTCTTTTTTGAGACGGAGTTTCACTCTTGTTGCCCAGGCCAGAGTGCAATGGCACAATCTCAGCTCACTGCAACCTCCACCTCCTGGATTCAAGCAATTTTCCTGCCTCAGCCTTCCAAGTAGCTCGGATTACAGACATGCACCACCATGCCCGGCTAATTTTGTATTTTTAGTAGAGACTGAGTTTCACCATGTTGGTCAGGCTGGTCTTAAACTCCTGACCTCAAGCGATCCACCCAACTCAGCCTCCCAAAGTGCTGGGATTACAGGTGTGAGCCACTGTGCCCAGACAGGAGCTGCACCCTTGATTCAAGACTGCTTTTTCCCCATTTCTTTTCTTTCTTTTTTTGGTGGCATCTGTGAACCATTCGCTTTCTAATTGCGGATCACACAGTGTTTTCATGGCTCATATTGCTGTCTTTCAACTTCCAGGCCCTCTTTCCACCCCCACTCTTAAATGAGAGATAAAACAAAAAAGGAGGCCAGTGGAATTTATTTTCCTCCCTCTGTAGCAGATGTTAAATTTTTTTAATGAGGGAATATTAAAAGCAGCATCTTTTTATCCCAGAGCCACTGCCCCCACATTTAAAGGCCCACCTCTGACGAAGCCTCAGGGGTCTTTTCATCCAGGATGTGGAGGGAGGACTCTGAAGCTGGGTGCTGCCTCCCCCTCCACCACTTCCCTACTGCAGGCCTTGGCCAAGATTTGGAATCACTCTGGGTCACATATATGGTTTACTCATATATGGTTTACTCATATATGAAGGGAGTTGGCTTAAAGAATCTCGGAAGTTGTTCTAGTTCCTGAGTCAATCAGTTGCCTCAAAAAATTGAATGTAAACCATTTTTAGGGAAAAGTTACTTTCCCAATTTTTTTTTTTTTTTTGAGATACAGGGTTTCACATTGTCACCCAGGCTAGAGAGCTGTGTGGCACGATCGTAGCTCATAACTGCCAGCCAGGTTCAGGCAAGCCTCCTGCCTCACCCTCCAGAGTAGCTGAGACTACAGGTACACACCACTGTACCAGGCTCATTTTTGTACTTTTTTGTAGAGATGGGGATCTCTGCACCCAGCCACTTTCTCTCTTTATTCTACTTCCTTTTCTCAATAACCAGAGATCATCTCATTAATTTGGTTTTATGAGAATGTATTGCTAATCTTAGTCATTTGGGGTGAAGACTGTCAGTTAAGGTAAATGTTTGAGAAGCTGCCCCTTTAATTCAGATCCGTATTTTTTATCTGTTTAGAGTTTCACAGGACAAATAATAGTACTTCTCTGCTCTGCTTCAGTACTTTTTTTTTTTTTTGAGACAAAGTCTCACTCTGCTGCCCAGGCTGAAGTGCAGGGGCATAATCTTGGCTCACTGCAACCTCTGGGTCCTAAGTTCCAGCAATTCTCCTGCCTCAGCCTCCTGAGTAACTGGGATTGCAGTCACTCACTA